ATTTATTTCAGAACCCCCTTCCCCTCCCCCTTTTCTGATGAAGGGTCTAGGCCTGAAACGTCAGCCTCTCTGCTCCTATGATGCTGCTTGGCCTGCTGTGTTCATTCAGCCCTGCACCTTGTTGTCCCAGAAACAAGCGGCCGGGCCAGCGGAGAGGCAGGGAGTAGTTAGCATTGCTCAGGGAGGCTTTCTGAAGACCGCCCCCCCCCCCCCCCAAACCCCGAGTGCGAACATACCGGTACAGGATTTTCCGAACGGCAGCTGCTCTTTCGGCTTCTCCAGGTCCTTATGATCAAAAATTTATTATTCTGCACACAAGGTGCGGGAGAATTGTCACCAACTAGTGTAGGAGATTGGGACTGGTGGAAGCAAATCTTGGAGATGGTGCGATGGATTTAGATTTCAGGGCAGGAGCCAGCCAGAGTGTGTGGAGTAGAGATTTCCTGTTTTGGAGGATCAAGAGAAGAGAAACTGTTCTGTACAGAGCACAGTTGCCTGTTGTGAACTTATGTCCTGTGCTTACAGTTATGAATTTTGTACACTTTCCTGCCTGCTAGAAGGGGAGAATTTGCAGACAAGCTGAAACCAAACATCAGATCTACCACAGTCACTTGTTTTGTCGAGACATGAGCATTATCATCCTTTAAATGTTCTGTCTGTGGAAGTACATCAGTGTGACTGAGAAAATCCAAGATACACATGCATACTTTGGTGAGAATATTTCAGTGCACTGGAAGAGCATTAATGTGACACTGTTCACAACAAGGAGAAACTGTACATATGTACTGCGTGCGGCTAATGCTTTAGCTGATTGTCAAGCCTGGAGAAACACAAGGACATCCCCACCATGGAGAAACCGTGGAAATGTGAGGACTGTGGGAAGGGATTCAAAATCCCATCTGAACTGGAGATACATCGGCGTAGTCATACGGGTGAGAGACCGTTCAGTTGTTCTGTGTGTGCAAAGGGATTCGCTCAGTTAGCTGTCTTGCTGAGACACCAGCGCATTCACACTGGAGTGAGACCATTCACCTGCTCTGAGTGTGGGAAAGGATTCACTCAGCAAACCCACCTTGCTTCACACCAACGTGTCCACTCTGATGAGAAGCCTTTCAAATGCCTAGCATGTGGGAAGTGTTACAAAAGTTCCCAGCAACTACTGCGCCATCAACCTGTTCACACTGATGAGAGACCCTTCAAGTGCTCCGAGTGTGGAATGGGATTCACTCACTCATCCCACCTGCTAATACATCAGCGAGTTCACACGGGTGAGAGACCCTTTAAATGCCCAGATTGTGAGAAGTGTTATAAAAGTTCTGGGGAACTGATGTCCCATCAACGTGTCCACACTGATGAGAGACCGTTCAGATGCTCTCACTGTGGTTCTGGGTTCAGGCGATCATCTCACCTCACTAAACACCAGCTAGTTCATACTGGGGAGAAGCCTTTCATCTGCTCGGAATGTGGGAAGAGATTCACTCAGTCATCCAACCTGCAGAGTCACCAACGTGTTCACTCTGATCTGAGACCTTTTAAGTGCTGTGACTGTGAGGAGAGCTTTAAAAGCAGCAGTGATCTGCTCAAACACCAGCAAATTCACACAGCGTAGAAGCCATTTTCTTGCTGCCGTGTGTGGGCAGGGTTTTACTCATTTGTGATTACTGCAGATCCACCAGCAGGTTCATACGTAACTGCAGGGACTTGACCCTGCTGTTTTGCTGCTGTGAATCTCCTGAACGATTAACAATTAGAGTTTGTTTAAGTTAAGTGCGAATAAACTCTATAAGGCAGGGCCAGTGGCGCAATGGAAAACGCGCCTGACTACAGATCAGGAGATTTGTAGGTTCGACTCCTACCTGGCGCAAGTGCATTTCACAATTTCTTTACACTTCCAAACTACTCCTTTTCAATGGGGCGGCACGGTGGCTCAGTGGTTAGCACTGCTGCCTGACCTGGGTTCAATTCCAGCCTTGGGCGACTGTCTGTGTGGAGTTTGCATATTCTCCCAATGTCTGCGTGGGTTTCCTCCGGGTGCTCCGGTTTCATCCCACAGTCCAAAGATGTGCAGGGTAGGTGGATTGGCTGTGCTAAATTGCCCATAGTGCCAAGGGATGTTTGGGTTAGGTGGGTTAGACATGGGAAATGCAGGGGTAGGGGAATGGGTTTGGGTGGCATGCTTTTTGGAGGACAGTGTGGACTTGTTGGGCTGAATGGCCTGTTTCCATACTGTCGGGAGTCTATGAAGTGGACTGGAGTTTAATGCTCAGTATCGAGGTGAAACAAGCCAGTCAGCGACACTGACATGAATGAATTTAAAAAAACAAGGCTTTTGAGTCTTTGATTTATAGAGTCATACAGCATGGAAACAGACACTTTGGGCCAAGCAGTCCACGCTGACCATGTTGCCACATTAGTCACATCTGCCTGCGTTTGGCCCATATCCTTGCAAACCTTTCCTATTCATGCAATTATTCTCCAAAATAAGAGACTGATTTATGTCCTGTCACTATTTTCCTTTTGCTGTCTTTTCCCCTTTTATTGATGGCAATCTTGTATTTATGTATCACCTTTCACAACTTCACGATGTCTGGAGGAGTTCCAGAGCCAATGAGATTCTTTTTCAAATGGGGTAACTGTTGTAATATAGGAAATATACTGGTCATTACTGTGCACAGCAAGTTCTGCCAAATTGAAATGTGACTTCGACCCAAATTCTCTCTTTACTGATGTTTGTCGAGGAGTATGTATTGAGCAGCTCACCAGAGGGAACACCCTCTTCATCAGAATAATACTGTGCATGCTTCTACAGACAACTGAGAGGGCAGATGGAGGCCCTGGTTGAAGGTTTTGTCTGAAATATGGGACCTTCGACAGTTCAGTACTCCCTCAGTTCTGATTCAGAATATCAACCTGGATTTAATGCTCTGGTTTCTGGATTTGGATTTGAACCCATAACCTCCTGTCTCAGATGAAAATGCAGCCACTGAGTCAGAAGCAACATCGCATTGTTACCCAAGATTATTTCAGCGCTTCAGTTACTCATGGACAAGTCTCAAATTTTTGTCTGGGAGTCACAACTCCAATAAAGAAGTCAAATCAATGATGATTTTAATGCATTTATTTGCAAAGTAGCATTTTTGATATGATACATAAACTGACTAGGCAGAAAAGATATACAACCTGGAATACTTGAGAGTGGTTTATTGGTCCCAGAATGGGCAAATGAATTGGGGAGAGGTTCCCCGTGGCTGACTCCTTGAAATAGTTTACTGATCCTGGATCTGGCAGACATGATTTCTGTGATTAGAGGTGACAGTTCCCTTGGTATCTCCAAGAATAAATGTCAAAACATTCTCCAGTAAAATGTGATACTATTATTTAATGCCTCATTCTCACTTGCAGATCCCCTCACTCAGTTTTAAGTCATTGTCACATCATAGAGACACACAGTTCAAACAAAAATTAATGTAAAGACATTCAAGTTTCTCCATCAGGTTATAACTCCCTCAGAGATAGTAAAAACTGCCGATGCTGGAGTCAGAGATAACACAGTGTGGAGCTGGAGGAGCACAGCAGGCCAGGCAGCATTAGAGGAGCAGGAAAGTTGACGTTTTGGATCGAAGGGTCCCGACCCTAAATGTCAACTTTCCTGCCCCTCTGATGCTGCCTGGCCTGCTGTGCTCCTCCAGCTCCACCACCCCATTGTGTTATCAAGTTTCTCCAGCTCTCTGTTCACCTGCATCCGCCTTGTGGATATTTTCTAAAACCAGATTCTATATCTAGCTATTTTAACGTTACTCCCTATGACTGTGTGGAATTCTATCCCGATCGTCCTAAAGTCAGTCTCCTGAGTATTTGTTGATGACTTGATTTATAATATCTCATTCTGCTGTCAAAATAATATACTCTGTTGTCGAGAGGCTGAGTCTGTCTCAACCACGTCCTTCAGTGTGGGTTCAGGACACATCTCCCTGTGTTAATTACACCCCAGGACCACAACTCAGTCATGTTTAATCCAGTGGGGACATCTCTTTACTTCTGTCAGTGAGAACTTCACTTTCTGATCATTTCAGGGAGGCAACTTTGGTGAGGGTAGAACCTCTCAATCCCATCATAAAGCACACAGGGATGTCTGTTGTGACAGTTCCTTCACATCAGCTGATCCTGTGTTTATTTGCACAGTATCTCCTTTTACACAACTGATTGTCACTTTAGATTTAAGCAGTGTCCTGGCTTTTCTTTGTAATATTCACTTTGTAATTAGAGATGTTAATCAGTGGAACCTTTCGGATGTATAGATTTTTCACCAAAGATCATTTTGCAATTGAAATAAACATTCACAGCTTAATTGTAAATTATTTCCGGGTGAGAGTTCTTCAATCGAGGGTAAAATTCATAGTTAACAATTTTAACAATAGGCCCGTCACAACAAGAGTAGGCCATTTAGCCAAGCAAGCCTGTCCTGCCATTCTAGATCATGGCTGATCACCTCTCTAATGCCACTTTACAACATTATGTCCACATCCTTAATCTCATTAGTCGTCAGGTCATAAATCACAGAAGGCCCTTTGATTCAGCACTGACCTATCTACGCTAATCCCACTTTCCAGCACTTGGCTCATAGCCTTCAAAGTTATGACATTTCAAATGCTCATCCAAGTCCTTGTAATGGTTGTGATGCTCCCCGCCAACTACACTCCCAGGCAGTGTGTCCTAGATTCCCACCAACCTCTGGGCGAAAAACTAAAACGCCTGGAATTCCCTCTAAACATCCAGCCTTTCAGTTTAAAATTATGCCCCTTTGTTGTTGACCCTTCAACTAAGGGGAACAGCTGCTTACCATCCACCCTGTCCATGTCTCTCATAACCTTATACACCTCAGTCAGGTCTCCTCATCAGCTTTGTCTGCTCTAAGAAAATAACCTAAGCTCATCCAGCCTCTCTTTATAGCTAAAATACTCCAACCCAAGCAATATCCTGGTGAATCTCTTCTGCACCCCTATCGAGTGGCAGCCAGACTGCAAACATTAGTCTCAGAAACCTATCAATTTTTGCCTTTGTCTTGCTCAATGACTGAGATTCTATAACCATCTGAGGAAAAGAATTCCAAAGATTCACTGCCCTCTGAGTGAAGAAATTCCTCCCCACCTCGGTCATAACTTGCCTACTCATTACCCTGAAATTATGTCCCTGGTTCTCGAGTCACCAGCCAGCTTAATTATATCCTTGTCTGAATTTTAACATTTCTGCAGGCCATGGAGATTAAACTAAGAAATTTAGGTGAATGATAACGACCTGGAACACTATGCACTTCAGTAAGGCTTTTTGACAAAGTAGTCTGGTTTTCTTCTCAATGTATGATTCTAGAAACTCAATCTACAATCCAGGAATTCCTCCTCCTCAGCACTGGTGCTGTCTTGGTTTAGGCGATCCAAAAGAAAATCAAAGTTACCTGTGATTACTGTGTTACCCATGTTATTTGCATCTCTAACATCAACTTTAGTATTACAGTTTAGTGTTTTATAAACAATTCTAATCAATGGTCACCTCCCTTTCTTTTATCTTAGATCAACACCAACTGGTTCCACATGTTGAGCCTTTGAATACGATCCGCTTTCACTAATGTACTTATACCATCCCTTGTCAGGAGTGTTGCTGCAGCTTCTTTAGCTTTGCGCCCAACCCCGATTAAATGTAGAACACGCTTGGCTATTTCTGTTACCATGTATCCACATCTCTAATGGCAATTAAATCACTTCCCTTCCCTCAACTTGTGCATTCAATCCATCAACATTTTTGCAAATGTTATGTCCGTTCAGATAGAGTGCCTTTATTTCAGTCTGCTTAACATTATTTTCCATCTTGGTCCTTTTTGATGCCTGCCTTTGCTTTGTCTGTCTAGGATATTTGCTTTCTACACTTCTACTTCCTTTTACTTGTTTTGTTTTCCTTGAGTCGTAACTCCCTCTTAACATTTCATGTCTATGCCGATCTAGATTGAGCCGTCCCCACCAGCACTAGCAAATCCCCAGAAGAAGCCCCAGTGCTACAGAAATCCCATGCCCTCCCTCTCCTACATCAGTGCTGTGTTTACCAGCGCGTGGGACTGGGAGTAATCCTAAAATTACTGCTGTGGATGTCCTGGTTTTCAATTTCCTTTCGAGCTCCCTGTAATCTCCTTTCAGGACCTCATCCTCCTTACTGCCAAAGTCATTGGTACTGACTTGGACCATGAACTCTAGCTGTTCTCACCCAGGAAAATCAGAGTGAAAACGGTGGCGTGACAGGAAGGCAAGTAACGTAGTGAATCCCATTGAATAAATGAAGCAATAAATGGTTTCTGTCTCCCCCATCCCACTGCTTGAATCCATTGGTAGGAGCAAATCACTGCAGAGGCTGGAATCTGTACTGGAAACAACAAATGCTGGAGATCACAGCGGGTCAGACAGCATCCATGGA